CCCCAAAACCCCAAAACCCCTTGGATTGAAATATAATTGGATAGATTCCTTTGTTTTGGTTAATTAATTATCAAATAATCTAAGTAATCTTCTAAATATAATTGATTTATAAAACATATCTTTGATATATAATGAGTGGTCAATAAACGTGCGTTATTGTCAATGGTTTAGAGTATACCAGAGAGTGGGATTCTCAGGAGAGGATGCACCAAGAGCTATCTTCCCAACTTTCGTTTGAAGGTCCAGTGATGACGATTCTGCTTATTTCTTAGGCGATGAAGCTCGTTCGAAAAGAGGATCCCTACAAATCTCTCACCTCATTGAAGACGGTGCTGTTTAGGATTGGGATAATATGAAAAATCCTTGGAGCCAAATTTTCTAAAATAAACTCATAGTCTCTCCAGATTAGCACCCAGTTCTCCTACTGAGCTGCTCTCAATCAAAAATAAATAGAGAAAAGATGACACAAATTATCTTTGAGACCTTTGTATAATTCTTAATGGAATATTGTAAATCTCCCAGGATTCTATGTCGCCATACAGCCTGTTCTGGCACTCTTTTCCTGCGGTAGATACACTGGTATCGTGGTTGATAGTGGTAAAAGTCTTACCTATACTGTTCCAATCATAGAGGTTTTCTAAAATCTTCATTCAGGTTAAAGAATAAAGCATGGTGGAGAAGATCTTACATAGTTGATGGTGAAATTCGTTGCCGAGAAAGGTTTTCAGTGGCTATGAATGTTACTGAGGATATCAAGGAAAAGTTGTGCTTTGTTGTATAAGATTATGAAGCTGCTCTATAGCAATCTCAAGAAAGCTATGAATTTGATAAGAGCTATGAACTCCCAGATGGATAAGTTGTATCTTTAGGATCTGAGAAACTCAAAGTCCCAGAATACCTTCTTAATCCTCAAGAAATAAGCGATATAAATCTCAATTCACTCCATTATCAAATCTTCTAATCAATTACAGACTGCGATATTGATACTAGAAGAGATCTTTATCAGAACATTGTACTAGCAGGAGGTACTTCAAATTTTAATAACAATATAATCCTATTCTACCTTGTTCGAAGGATTAAGTGAAAGACTTTAAATGAAAGAAAAGAATATCGCTCCTTAATAGGCTATCATAGAGGTTGTTGCTAGCTCATACAGAAGATTATCGGTTTGGAAAGGAGGTTCCTCAGTAAGTGGATAAGAATCATTTGCTTAGATTTTCATTACAAAAGAAGAATATGCTAAAGAAGGACCCTTAGTTGTTCATTAAAAAATATCTTTGAACAATCATTCAGTAATTCTATGCTTAACCTAATAGAAATATTCTTCCTATTTGATAATCATTCATTAATTTCATAAATAAAGTAATGTATATATCGCTTTAATTTAGCCTCAAGGGGTTTTGGGGTTTTGGGGTT